CCCCCCCCCCCCCCGTGGATTGATTAGATAAAAAAATTTAGACAAAAATAGACAAAAAATGTATTAAAGTAAGGAGAAAATAAAAAGAAAGTAACTAAGCTGATGTCCTGTCCGTTCGTTCGCCATACAAATACGCTACAGTAAATTAAAACTATATTAAAACATTACTAAAAAAATTTTGCCCCCCCCCCCTGGAAAGTTAATCGATTTTTTTGCACCCCCCTAGAAAGTTTTCTGCGGGCGCCCATGGGTGCTGCTTAAGTAACTGAAGGACTCCACGTCTTCCAGTGCCTGTCCTGCCAGACAGATATGCTCTTGGTTGGATAAGTTTACCTTCATGATTTTCGTCTTGCTTTTATTTACATTGAGATCAAGCTGTGCTGACATGGTGGCTACGTCTTTTGTCTTTTCCTGCATTTGTTGCTGGTTGTGGGAGGGACAGAAGTGCAATGTCGTGTGCAAAGTCTAAGTCATTCCGTATCCGGAAATTTGATCGAAAGAAATTTCGTCGACGGTAAATTGATCGACGGTAATTTGATAGAACAGAAATTTGGTCGAATCTTTTTTTTAAAGATTTTACCTTAACATTTTGCTTCAAATTACTTTTTTATCGCATTATTTTGTTTTACTATATAATATAGTGCGTGCAAAAAAGAAATTTGACGAAAATTTTAACTTGTGAACTGAAAAAAAGATTCGACCAAATTTCCGTTCGATCAAATTACCGTCGATCAATTTACCGTCGACAAAATTTCTTTCGATCAAATTTCCGGTAACCAAGTCATTCAGTTGTTCCCGGAGTGTCCACTGTATCCCATTCCTCTTTTTGTCTGCGGATTTTTTCATTATCCAGTCAATGGCAAAGATGAATAGAAATGGAGACAAGAGGCATCATTGTCTGACTCCTGTTTCGGCTGTAAAGGAATCTGTGAGTCTACCTTCGTGGACCACTCTGCAGGTCATTTCTTCATAAGAGCTCTGAATGATCCTGACTAGTTTCCCTGGTACTCCATAGTACCGAAGAAGTTTCCACAAATGTTGGTCAGTCTAGGCTATCAAATGCCTTTTCGTAGTCTTTTTTTGCACTGGGTATTTTTAGAAAATACCAGGTTGGTCCAAATGTTACAAAAAAAAAAAAAAAAAGTTGAATTATTATTTTCTATAACATATGCCGGCCTTTAAACAATAGGCCTAAAGACAGTCTTACTCCTAGCTGCAGGCCCTTAAACACTAGTCCAACAGACAGTCTTCAGAAAGTCCTACAGATTGTTCAACAACGTATTCATGGCTCTTTATTGATTCCTATATTATAGTAGCCTTCCCCTAAAGAAAAAAAACTCGCCGAGTAACAGCCTTTTTCCCACTCATTACTATACATATTAAACATCTGGAGCAGTTGGGGGTAGGGGGTGGGTTTTAAGTGATTGTGAAAAGTCAGCGGGACGAACCAGAAGCAAAATATAGCAGATAAATGTGAAAGACCGCATGTAAAAGACCTTGTGCTGTATGACAATCGTGCTCTAATGTTAAGAGGTGGTCTAAGTTACGAATCAGCGAAAAGTATTTCTTTTTTGAGTATTTTTGAGTTTCGATAGATTTGGTTTCAAAAACATAAAAAAAAATTTAAATACATTTAAATTAATTTTTATAAGCTATTAAAACATTTTGTAAAATATTATTCTTTTGTAAACCATAAAAATGGTTACAAATTCATTTTTTAAAATGTGTTTAATTTTTTACAGATTTGATTCATTTATCTAGAATCGTCCGACCATATCGTATTTGGTTTCAGTGGAAAGCTTTGTTTCTCAGAATTTAGATAAATCTTGCTACCTCTCATTGATGAAAGTTACCGAACACTTCTCGCGGTTGCACACCGGTCAAAAAAGGGTGATCCCGACGCATCAACCTTGAACTTTTAATAAAGCACGCAATTGGATTGGTTACATGTGTGGAAAATTTACGTGTGAACGGTTATCCTTTTATGAAATTCCGTTAGACCGAGCGGTCTAGGATGGTGTCACCCGGTGCGGTCCGCAATCTCCGCACGCTCTAGCCACGCCACTGGAAATGGCTTTTGTTTGAAATGCATTCTGTATGGTTTGTGGTCAACGAATAGCACGAAAGTCACAACATCTAGCTATCCCACAGTTTTTTACGTAGCAGCCATGAATATTTTTGAGAGTCTCTGCTTACCTTTCCTCAGAAAATCGGAAGGAAAACAAAAAATGAATGAGTTGACATCCAGGAACAGGACATATGTTTGTATTAAGGAGGGGGCACAGTGAAGTGAAACAGAAAGGTCTGTGAGTTGTATGCTTTCTATTTACAATATAACTCAAAATGATATCAGTACCAAAATGCAGCGCAACACATAACAATAAAGAAAAAAAATAAGCTGACTTGGACGTGCGAGACACCACAGCTCTGCCGTGACCAGGATTCGAACCTGGGTTGTCGCGGCCACAACGCGAAGTACTAACCACTATACGATCACGGCCAGTACGCCAGCTGTTTCAAATGTTGAAATAAATTATAATAAATCAATAATTCATTTAGCTTATTTTTGTTAACATAGTTGTGACATTATTTTTGGGTTAAATTTGTAGATATATTATCTTTTTATCATTTTAAGGTAAATTCAATATTTATTTTTCTTTATCTTACGAATATGAGGTGCATTTCGTATTTTTTAAAAAGTGGTAGACCATGATATGCCAGAAAGTCACAATCCTTTACTTTACTGTTGAGAAAATAAACATCAATTTTTAGCAAATTTTTTATAATTATATAGTTTTCCTTAATAATTTATGTATTTTTATAAGTATCTTTTTAAAAATGATACAATTTTTGCAATATCATCTAAAATGACTTGTTTTAATTTTTCAGAATCATTATTTTTAAAAAGATCTTAAACATTTGACAGCATAATAGTAGGAAATAAAATCATTCGATATTTTATATCTGATTCAATAATATTATATTCATTTAACCATTTTTAAAAATTTCAAATTTACAATAATATTTATTTGGCTTCACAAATTAAATGTCCTGTCTCTTTTGAAGAGGTATTTTAAATTATTTTTACAAATATCTGGCCATCATCAGACTCACGCTTTATTGGAACAATGGCGCAGACAGGTACCTACCGCGAAGAATTAGAAAATGAGCTTAAACAAACAGACCCGAGTTCTCATGCAAACAGATTAGTCGCACAAGGTATTTCTAATTATATGCAGATTCATATAATGTTTAAATGAACTTAAGGTTCTGATTATCTTTTTATTTGTGGTCTAAATCAATTGCACGATTAACGCTCCACATGACTCGAGCAACGCTAAACTATAAACGGTAGTCTTTAGCACCGTAGTAAACGGCATGCAAGAAGTATCATGCGCGGTACATAAGTGAACCCTTGATGTAAATTGTAAAGTATATTTAAGTATGTATAATGCAGTGAAACATGTAAATAACGATCCAGTACTATCTCTGTCCCTGATAAATGCCCTCCTACCCCACCACCTTTTTTTCCATTGATAGGAATAATAATATGATTTAAATAAATTAGGTATCATATATAATATATTCTTTTTTCATAATGTCATAATAATAATGTATTAAAAAACCCTCAAAATAGTCTAAATCTTGGGTAAAGGTGGAATGACAGGGTGGCGTCATGTACATTAGTGTGTGCTGTATTTAAATTAAGGTGGTCCATGGGTCATACATTATTTTTGTTTCTTAATTTTTTTTTCTTTTAGTACATACTAACTATCTATAGTCTATACTAGATACTTTGGTAAAAAATTTAAACATTTTGTAAAAATAAACCAATGGCACAGTTGAATAGAGCTAATTTTTTACAGAATTATAACAACAAAATCATATTTTTAGCTGTTGTAGTTTTAAAGTTATGAATTTTTAAAGTATGACTTGGTTTGTCCTTTTTTAACATGGACTGCATCTCCACATTCTGTGACCTCATTCCGCTGATCGCGTCATGCGCGATGACTATATAGTTTATATAAGGCAACGCATTCCCTTATCACTAAAATACTGTTTAGGATCGACTTATTTTAAACTTTCAACTTTGGCACATGAATAATTAATTAAAGCTTTCCCTGACCAATGGTTTAATAGCTTTTGCACACGGCAAACTCTTATGAATGAAACTCTGAGATAGTACTACGATATAGCCATTATGCAAGTGGCTGGCTGTGAATGGTTGCCAATGACAATGTGTTGCACACGGAAAATTCTGATAATTTATACGAAGTGTCTACACGTCCGGCGCGCCGGACGTGTAGTGCGCAAGATACACGTCCGGCGACTTGTCACGTGACCGCCGGACATGGCCGGACGGCTAGTAGTTTTTATAATTCCAAACGAAGTACGATTTAGTACATCTTGTCTGGTCTTGTGGTAGAGTGGTTGCATGACGATAGGAATGTTTGAGGATCTATACCGGGGATAGGGTCGTTTTTTTTCTTCCCATTTTAATTAAAATATTTTGTATATATTTATATTATCATGTTCCTCTGCAACAGTAGTTTCATGAGAAGTTTTTAAATATTTTGTAGCAATTGAAATAATTTAAAATGAAATCTTTAACTTTTATTGGTTGCCACACTGGCCCCTAATTTATTTTATGGATTACTGGTACACAAAAAATAACAAACTAAACAAAAATGTTTACAAGCCACTTTCACTTAAGTTTCTTTTTCTATTATTTGCATTCAAGATACTCAGTACATTACTTGGTAGAGAAATAGATTTTAAAATTAACAATAGTTTTGAATTATTCGCAGTCACGTGACAAGGCTGACCGACACGATATCTCTCGCCACTTTGTTACGGCGGTCATGTGACTTGGTCGCCGGACACATAGTGCGGGAGATAGACGTCCGGCGCGCCGGACGTGTAGACACTGCCTAATTTATAATATGGACTCTACAGAGTTTTTAAAGCTCAAATTAAAACATTCCAGTTTAAATGTCCTCAAAATGCATTTTGAAACACAAAATATAAAATATTTTGATGTAAATATTTTGATGTATATAGTGGTAATAATTAAATATTTCCTAAGTATCGGCAACTTCCGCCATTAAAAAGGGGGCGTGGCCCACGCCATGTCGAAATTAGGCAGAGCCACCTTATGGTGATATGGGTCACTGTGACAAGCGTTACAAACTTGAGACACGACCTACATCAATGAAACTTGGCACAGATATAGATCAATATCTAATGCTCATACAGATTTTTAATCAAAAAATTTTGTATGCGAAGATGCTTTATATATACCAAAGATTTTCAAAATACAGGTGATTGAAAAAAGCAAAATAGCTGGCTAGAAATGTAGGTCAAGATGTCTTCCAAATTATAAGGCCGGAAACGGAACTCAAATATATGTGGAAAGAACTAATTTCATAATAAATAGACAATCGAAAAATTAAATACTCGGATTTTTCGGCGCCGATGCCCATTTCCGATAATAAAAAAAAATAGTAGTCTCCCTTGTTTCATCGGAGTATCTAGTCTATACACTATAGTAATAAGGGATAAAAAAAAAAACATAAATTTATTTTGAATTTTTTATATTTTTTTTAGACTTTCATTGCAAAAAAAGTTAGAGGTTTTGCAATATCACAATGAAACTTTTCACACTGATAAATAATAACATTGTTAAAACACTAATAATAAAGAGCTTATTCAATTCTGCATTATAATAAATTAAAATTATTTTTAATTATTATAATGATTGGGAGAGATACAAATCACATCTTTGTGGAGTAACATACGAATTTGACAATTTTTGTAGGGTAACCTATTTATAAAAAAATAATTTTAAAAATTCTGTTGGATAGATATAAAATATGTTAATGACAGATAGAGAATATCAATGGAAAGAAGCATGCAAAGGTTGAAGTCTGTGGCTATAAAACTTTTTCTACTGATACTTTTGGCATTTCTAAAATTTCTGAAAAAATGCAAAGTTGAGAAAAATGAAAAAGAAGTTAAAAAAAATTAATTTTTTTAAAATACAGGCTGCATAAACAATAAATAGGATGGATACGCTATGGACATATATAGGTACTTTAAAACTAGTCGACGCACCGATCTGTGCATGTCCAAAAATGTCGAAAAAACTTATTCTACAATATGGCATATACCATTCATGAATTAAAAACAATTCAAAAAACAGAACAGATAGAGAATAAAATGACACTTTCATTCAAACACCACCCCACGAGCCTAATAAATAAAATATACTAATAAAAAATTCTGAACTATTTTCCTAAGAGATATTTGTTAAGTTACTTAAAAACAAATGCCTTAATTTTTTTATGCTTTTTGGGTTAGTGCCACTTTAACAGTTTCGGGATATTGATAATAATTTTTTTTTCCCCACAGAGATAGACAGATTAACTAAAGGTGAAGATGACAAGAAAGACAGACCCCAGGTTACAATGTATGAGCTGCATACTGAGCGAAATCAGAAATTGTCGCTCAAAATTAGAATTCCAATTAAAGAGCATCCAAGAGTAAGCCCTTATTCTGTTTAATGTTTCATTTTTTAGTCTCTATTTCTGTGGTTATTCTCATTTTGGGATCCTATGAGCCCAAAAAACAATTACACAGTATATAATTATAACAAAAATTTAAAAGATTTGTATTTTGTATGTATACTGGTATACACATCCATTTTTTTTTTTTTTTGCCATAGACTTTCAATAGTCATTACTTGACTTGATACTGTCTATGATGATTTTTGCATACACTGTACTATTTTGAGATGTCTTTAATATTGTATGTCATAAGGGTTCCCGCGGCCTCCTGAAATTCCTAGTTTGAGTATCGTAGTCATTGTTATTGTATTTATCATTTGGTATCGTCTTTTGTTGTGTGCTGTTTTAGAAGGAACCATCCATAAATTAAGAGATTAATTTCTCCACACTGACAGTATGTAACAATGGGACTGGTAAACCTTGAATGGTAACTCATCTTGGGCAAACTCTGAAATCAAACCCAGATATGGAGTCCTGTAGGTATTATGACATTGACACGATGAAAATTCTGACAAACTTCTTTGACGTAGAACACATAAAGAGCAGAGTGAAACACACACACTCACTGCTGGTAATCTACTTCGTCCCGGTCTATACCAAGTCGCCTTGGCTAGTCTTGCCATTAAATCAAAAGGGAAAAGATGAGAGTGGTTCGGACGAATTGAGCAACTCTCCTTAATTTGAAACAAAATATAGCTCACGTCAAGGCTTCATGTGCACAGGACGAACAATAATACCAGAAATATTGATATCAAGTAAATTTGCAGGACAGTTCTCGGATGCCATGAAAATTAGGGGAGAATATAAACAAACATCAATCATCCGAGACTTCCTCTAGTTCAACTTCAGTTTTTTCACCTACCTCAGGTGTTCACTTTTGCAACTTCTTAGTCAAGCTCCCAAGTTATGTGTATCTTTGGAAATAAATATTACTTACTTGTGATTGAAAGGGATTATTTTATTAGTTGTTTGTTGTCAAACATCAAGTACACCTTATAAAAACTAAGTTACTCATTTTTGTGTGAGCTCAGGACCAGAGTATCTATACCGATACATCCTTTAAATCGATTAAATGCTTTAGCATTAGGAGTCCTTAGAGTAAGAACCAGCACTATATAAGTGCATTTATGTCCTGTTACTACAAAAAATTGTAGAAACATTCTATTCTTAATTCAAAAAATTTTATTTTAAGCTTAATTTTAAGCATATTGGATTATAAATGGAAGATTTGATTGCAGCTTAACTTCACTCCACTATATGCCAGATGCAAGTAGTTATTGTCATTGTATATTATAAATTATAGATACCATTTTTATTTACTGTATTGTATAATTTTGAGCTAAAGTTGTATTTTATGAGTTTGAGGATTTTTTAAAGTTGAAACACACAAATCAAAAGTTATTTCTACCTATAATTATATTTATTACAGTACAATTTTGTTGGGAAGTTATTGGGTCCTAAAGGCCAGACCCTAAAAGCACTTCAAGATCAGACTGGATGCAAAATGGCTATAATGGGCAAGGGATCAATGCGAGAAAAGGAAAAGGTATGTTTCCATTAGCATGTTGAAAAAATTGTATAATTTTTAACAGTTTATAGAAACAAATGCAACATTAATTTCTATGGTGCAGTAGTTTTAGACACTGTTATGGTCAATTAGTGTGGGTATCGTTCTTATTTAAGCACAATGTTCATTTAAATTAGTGCCTTCATATTTTTGTTTCGACTTTTATAGGAAGAAGAACTACGGAAAGAAGGTGGGAAATATGCGCACTTAAACGAAGATCTTCACGTTCTAGTTGAATGTTTCACAGATGTCACAGATGGATACCACCGTTTAGCAGGAGCTCTAGTGGAGCTTAGGAAATTTATCATTCCTGTAAGAAATTTTTTCAAGGATTAAGCATTTAAAACTACTTAGTATGAATTACCTGTTCAGGCCTTTTTTCTTTATTTTTATTTATACTGAGATGTACATTTTCATATTCTGAGCTTTTTTTTTTTTTTTACTAAAACTAATAACTAATATGTGACTATCACATATTTTTTTTACAATTTTTACAATAAAACAAGACTGTTTTTTTTCTTTATTTTTTTTTATACTTAGATGTACTTTTTTATATTTTGAGCTTTTTTTTTTTTTTTACTAAAACTAATAACTAATATGTGACTATCACATATTTTTTTTACAATTTTTACAATAAAACAAGGCTGTTGTTGTATTTTAAAACTGTTTAGCTTTGGAGTGATAATGCATTATTACCCCTGTACTCTCATAGCTATACTATCATTCTATAAAGGTCAGTTAACACAACATGCTTTTTCATGTGACTGATTTGTTTTTATTATTATATTGCAACATATTTTTGCCATATATGTTCTTTCGTTTTTTACACACCAATCTATAATCACTTTTAATTTTATATCCTTTAGGATTTATCTGATGAAATGTATGGTGGTGGTGATATGGGCATGGAGGAGATGGGTATGAATGGAGGTGGAGCTCCACGTGGTCGTGGTGGATTTAGAGGTGCACCGCCTGAGAGAGGGTGAGAGATAAGTTTAAATTATCCCTTTGCTATTAGCATTTTCACACTTAAATTTTCAGATGTGACTTATTTTCTGTGGTATTTTGACAATTTTGTTGACTTCAATTCCATTAGTAGAAAATATTTTGCAGAAGTACTGGCCACATTTCTTCCCATTTTTCATACATCTTATAAAGTTACAACTGGCTCTGTTCATTATCCAGTGCTGCATTTTGGGCACATTTTAACTTGCATTTTTTCTTTCTCTTTTTTAAATTTTTTAATAAATGATTTCAGTAATTTAAAAGGGAGAAGAAAAATTTAACCAAATTTGTTAATAAACTTAGGGATTTGGGTTATACAGAAAAATGGTGATTCGCAGAAGTCAAATTGCACACAGAGCAACTATTAAGCTTATTGTTTCAGTTTCCCTTTTCCCAGATTATCTAGAGTATATTTCAAAATTTTCAGGGGTAGAGGAGGTTTCAGAGGTCGGGGCAGTGGACCAGCTCCTCCACCAGCTGGAAGGTATGTTGTATTACTGTTGAAATAAGTAAGGTGGGGTGGGGGTACCAGAAAGAAACTGACATTAAACAGGCACGATTGTGATAATAAAAATAGCTAAGACATGAAGGTTGCTGCTTGGCAAAAAGGAAAAACATTTCTCTAACATTACTTAATGTACATATCTGATTCTGAATACATGTGCTTGAAGTAGATTTGTTAGATTTTAAAATTTCTAACAGAGATTGATTTTAACTCTTTAATTTTACAGATTTAAAAATCATGTTAATAATTATTAAAATATGTTTATCAAAGGGGTGGCCCACCACCAACTGCAAGAGGAGCCCTGCCTCCAAGAGGGGCCCCTAGGGGAGCAGCTGTATCAAGGGGTGCACCACCTACAAGAGGTGCCCCATCTCGTGGTGCTCGTGCAGCCGCTCCTGCTGCAGCATATGATGGATATGGTTCTCAGGTTGGTTACTATTGTTTGTTAACATGTTATAACTTCGGATTATTCTTGTATTTTTAGGTTTCTTCTAAATTTCATTATGATATAAAGGGTTGGCTGAATGAGTAAAAGTTTGTTTTTTTTTTTAATGACTGACTAGTTGACATTCTGATTCTCCTATTTTTGTATGCATTTGTTATCTCTATAATTTGAGTCCTTGGAGACTTCGAATACTGATGTTCATGGCTCCCCAATGCCTTTTCCTGTAAAGCAAAGGAAGTTACATTTTCTAGTTTTACTCTTAACAGGGATATGGTTCAGGCTATGGTGCCAATTATGACACTTCTTATGATGAAGGATATGGTCAGAGCTACTCATCTGGGTAAGCATAATTAATTTCATAGTTTTTTTTACATAGGGTTGCTCAAGGATAGTTTGCTATTTTTATTCATCTTTTTTTTTTTTTTTTTTTTTTTTTTTTTTTTTACCCCCTTTTTTTTTTTTTTTTTTTTTTGTTTTTTTTATTTTTTTTTTTTTTTTTTATTTCTTTTTTTTTTTTTTTTTCTTTTTTTTTTTTTTAGACCCCATGATTCTATCACTTTTGAAGTGAAGTTTTAGTTTCTAAAGTTTAAAGAAAGTTTAATAAACCGGCCACCATTAAAATGAGTTATGGTTCGCTATATTGAAAACTAGTGTTCTGATCAAATAGGTTGGTTTTTCAAAGTGTATGAATTATAGCTCAGTTATTCGAAAAACTATTATATCTCATATTTTCAAACAAAAGCATCGGGTGTCATGTAAATGGTTGATCTATTTCTGCAAACATGATCAACAATATCTGCAGCTAAAATTTAAATAGTGTAGCTGGTGCCCATTTCCAATAGTGTTTCCGATATTCGAAGACCTTTAATGAATGCACCGGTACATGAAATTTTTCTGTTACCTTAAAGTCTGCTCCATTTGCCCACACAACTTAACTTGTTTAAAACTTTGCTATTTTGATCCCTGGACACACTATTACATTGAAAATGCAAGACCAAAAGTGTTTATGTCAAAAATTTTGTCATCAGTCATGCAAGGACTAGAAGTTTTAATTTTTAATTTTCTGACTAGCATGGGTTGTGTGGCTTAACATCCCACGTTGTACAGTTTTGGGTCCAGTTAAAGATAAATATTTACTTTTAGCTAGCTGTTGAAGGTTGATTGCTTATGAGATACTTATTATTTTTTAATCCATTTTATTCTCAGACAAGATGGGGCATACTATGATTATGGTGGTCCTTCTGCTAATTCTGCTGCTGCTTATGATTCCTATGGTGGAGCTGGTGGCTATGGAGAGTATGGTTGGTAGCTGAGAATAGGTTAATTTAGATTGAGCTATCACTTTTTAAAAATTATTTCATTGTTTGAGGAGCAGGTTCATTTCACTTCTGTTTTAATGGTTTTAATTCTTCCCAAATTTAATTTTTGGTGTTGCAGTATTTTAATTCCCTTTACTTAACTGTTGACTGTGTTTATTCGATATGTCTTTTATAGCTGAGAGCTGGGGTACTAGTGCTGGTGGAGGTAAAGCCCCTCCTCAAGCAGCAAGAGGTGCTGCGCGAGCACCAGCACGTTCACACCCATATCCACGTCCCGCCCAATCTGGAGGCTACTGACCTGAGATTTAGTCATAATGTCCATTGATGTATTCTTCACTTGGACAACTCTATGGAGGCATTATGTTGTGCTCTAACACTGCCCTGTCATTGGTTCACAGAAAGATATTATATTCTCAGTGCTCCTGACATAACTGAGGTACTGTTGGGAATACAAGCTTTTTTTTATATACTCTTTTTATATTTAAAAAGAAGAAAAAAAGTTTTAGCTATGCCAGTCAGCAATCTTAAATCTATTGTTTAAAAAAATAGTAGGCATGTGAACCCAAAAAAAAACAAACTAATGTACATATTTGTTCATATTTTGATTGGGAATATTTTTTTTAAGACTTGTAATTAGTCTTGTTAGTCTTATGTTGAACCCTAAGTCACCTTTGGAAGTATCTTTTTATGAGCAATTTTTATTCATTTTAATCGCTACCTGACATTTTATTGTGGTTATGAAGGTGCTTCCCAAATGTCATGACTGCCGTAACAGTGTGTTATTTTAATCAATTATGCTATTTCTCTTAACAATGAAAAATTTTAATGTCCCTAATTGTTGTAACTTGATTGTAGTAGGATGTTAATTGTTTTAAAAGTTTCAACTCTTGACAAAATAATTAAAAAAATGTTTAAAGTGTCAGAACAAAATACGCAAACTGTTTTTATTTCATTGACTTAATACTTAATATTTAAAGGTGCCAACTTTGCACAAAATTGTTAAATAAATAGGTTATTAGTTGCCTTAAATTTCTGCTGGTAAAAAATGTAAAGAAAACTGCTTTTGTTCTGAAAACTAAATGTTTTTAGTGCATATAAAATGTAATCAATTTATTTATTAGTTACAATAAGGCTAGTTGCAAATTTTTAAAAGCCCTATTGACAATGTTAATTGGAAAGTTGGCATCTATACCGTAGTTAAAATGTATTCTATTTGTAGCCTATGTCAATTATTGATATAACTCAAATAAGTTATAAATTTCTAAATAGAATGTTGAATATAATAAGCAAATGTGCTAGTGAAAAAATGAATATAAGATATTGTTATTAAAGCAATATTTTCTTGCTGTTTACCTTGAAACTGCATTTCCAGTCAAGCATGCCAGGTAATGGCTATAAGTTACAGATCCAATACAAAATTAGTTGAGACTAGTAACTCCAAAGAGAAGTTGGATATAATACATTGTTGTTATAAAAGGATATTGCACACAAACATAAACAGTAAATAACTTACTTCATTCCAGTATTTGATCTCTTTTAAAAAAATGATATCCTAACAAAAGTCTATAAATAAATCTTTTTGGGATTACAAAAGTGTGCAATTCTGTAGTCAAAAGTTTGATTCTGACCAAAGAAGTGGAATAACCATATGCTAGAGAAATAAGTTGGTTTCATTTGTATTGAAAGGTCATTAGCCACTGAATAAACATTTTAAAAATTTAATGACTTCTTAAAATATTTGGATGCCCAGTTCTTAATTTCTTTGTTTCATTTTAAATCAATTACCATGTCTACAATGTCCAATTTTAATATTTTGAGGTCTGTTTTGACCCAAATTTAAAACTAAAAAAAAAAAAAAATAATAAAAAAAAATAACCCTACAAAAAAAAAAAAAAAATTATTTGGATGCCCAGTTCTTAATTTCTTTGTTTCATTTTAAATCAATTACCATGTCTACAATGTCCAATTTTAATATTTTGAGGTCTGTTTTGACCCAAATTTAAAACTAAAAAAAAAAAAAAGAATAAAAAAAAATAACCCTACAGACAGTAACAAATGACTGGTCAGTGGCCACCTTGAAGAGCAGAATATACCCCTGAAATAAAATGGGCCATCCTGATATGCAGCTTTTAAACTTAATGGGTATTATTTATGCCCTTTAATTAAAAGCAAAGGTGATATCCTAAAATGCAGGTAAACATAAGTTTAAAAAAATTAATTCGTGGAAAAGGCATTTTGAAATAAAGACTAGGATTCTTGAAGAAAACTACTCTTGCTGTAGGGGAAACAAAAAGTAACCATATAAAAGTAGGCATTGAAGTTAAAGAAAATGTAAAAAGTATGAAAATTAATATCAAAATGCCTTTTCACTTACGTGTAATTAAATTAGTTGGAAGTCCATAAAATATCCCTCTAAAGTAGTTTTAATTAACAGTTGATCTTTTAAAAAATTCTTAATCTCTTCAGTCCTAAAGAACTATTAAAATCACCAATTGGCCCCATTTTAATTATTAATATCCAAAAAGTATATTATTGCAAAAGTAAGTCCAAATAGGGTTTTTAAAAATTATTTAAGAAACTAAAAGTAATAGACAGTGGGGCCAACAGTAGTAAATAAAATGTAAATGGCTATATTATTTTACCATAGTAAAAAAAAAAAAAAAAGATGTTTTTACTAATTTATATACCAATTTATTTCAGAGACAAAGTGGATAAAAGTATATTATTGCAAAAGTAAGTCCAAATAGGGTTTTTAAAAATTATTTAAAAAACTAAAAGTAAAAGACAGTGGGGCCAAAAGTAGTAAATAAAATGTAAATGGCTATATTATTTTACCATAGTAAAAAAAAAAAAAAAAGATGTTTTTACTAATTTATATACCAATTTATTTCAGAGACAAAGTGGAACCTTTCACTTGTGACAACCTAGTCTACTGCCAGAAAGTTTCAATTTCAGGAATTTAACTTGAATGATGGAAGATCAAAATCTTGAGCAGGTTGTGTAAGTTTTCTGCTGAAACAATAAAACACTTGAAACGTCATAGCTGTGTTTTCTTTATTTCCATTAGTGTTTTCATTTGTTTTAGGTGGCTTCCATTTAGTTTTCAAGTGCAAGGTTCTCTTGGATTTGAGTATAGCTTGAAAAATTAGCCAGTACCGTACTTGTCCTAATAACATGGTGCCTTGGCAATTTGAAAACTAAAGACCTAGTAATAGTACCGTAATAAAATAAAGTGAGCTGCATGAGTTCAACTCTCATACCTGCAACTGGCATTACTATGCAGCTACTTGTTAAGAGAACCGTAGGAAACTTAACACCAGTACCGTAGTGAATATTTTAACTTGTTGAGCTTCAATCAATCAAATTTTTTTTTTTGATTCATGTCTTACAATTACAATACTTAATTTATGACATTCACATTTGTAAACAATAATTTATTATAAGACAAGAGACCTAATAGTCATGTTAAACAAGTTTTATTATCAATTGAAATTATACAAAGTGATGCCATTTGAATATGTTGTAATGCTGGTCTGCCTTCTGCACTTGGTGGAAAATGTAGTTCTCTAGTGATCCTTGTCGATTTAGTCATCAAAGTCAAAATCATCTCCACCAAATACTGAAAATAGAATTCATGTATATTATTATTTTTCTTATTAGTACTTGATGTTATTATTAATTATATTAGAGAGTGCTGGTTATGTATCATGTACTTATGTACAGTACCATACTGATCTAACATTTAGTACCGGTAACTAAAACTGATACCGGGTACATTTATTTTAGACAAGAGGCGGTCAATAAACATTAGGATGGATACCAGTGTCAGGTACTAGTACTAGTACCATTTCTGACTTGACTTTCCATATACCGGTACATTTAATAAATGATTTATGCTGTACCTGGTACTGTGAGTGTAAACTACCAGTACACAAGTATCGGTACACAATTCAACAGTACTGGTTACACAGTGATTGTCAAATGTAGGCCTACGGGATGTACTTTCAGAGCCAGACTAAGAACTATTATAGTACAGAGTATAGTATGGTAAAATTAAAAATGCTCTAAATGTATAGATAGCATAACATCTAAACTAACTAAATCTATAGATAGCATAACATCTGAACTAACTAAATCTATAGATAGCATAACATCTGAACTAACTAAATCTATAGATAGCATAACATCTGAACTAACTAAATCTATAGATAGCATAACATCTAAACTAACTAAATCTATAGATAGCATAACATCTGAACTAACTAAATCTATAGATAGCATAACATCTGAACTAACTAAATCTATAGATAGCATAACATCTAAACTAACTAAATCTATAGATAGCATAACATCTAAACTAAATTGATGGTCATACTTTTAATAAATCCCAACAGTAAACAATTTTAATCGTTTGATTTATTTTACTTTCCTTGAAGTTGGCTTGATATTAATTTCTGAGATCGTCAGGTGAGACATGTGCATTTCACCGATACACTGTACAATGTCGCCATAAAAATGTATTAAAAGTTAAAGTAGAGTTACTTATGTTGTCACAGTTGGTCTTTTTCTATTTGTAGCTCTAGTAACTACTACTAGTAGTAGGGCATTTCATTTTCAGGCTTTGGGGTGGCCAGGGCAGTTGAGACGTTCGAGGGAGGAGTGAGGGGCAGCATTGGCTCCATCAACTCAAATTGAGTTATAGTTGTTGCGACCATTTTCTGCTCTGATCTCCCACTCACACACACTTCTTCCGTCCTATTACTATTAATTTAATCTTAATCTGAATTAATGCCGGTTGTTGGACACCTGGGGTATACCTTTGGCCCAGCTTAATTTTTTCACCTTATAAAGATATATACCGATACAATTACGAAATAAAACCATATTTTTGCCAGTTGTCAAGACAATCGTTTTAATTACGGTACCAAGGCTTCAGCCATATATCGCATACTGCAAACAGTTCTTAGTACCGGTACTCAAGTGAGTTACAATTACTATTGTATTACTATTACTATTGTCACATGAAGTATTTTGCGGCATTCCTGTGACGAAGCCGTGGCAACCTAGGGCTGTGCCGAGGAGAAGCGGCGCCCGTGGCATATCCTGAAAATGGCACTCTACAGGGTTTATAGATAATGTGCCTCGGAGCGGACGAATTTTGGCACTCCTCGTCTTTACAGTATACCGGGGATTAGTGCAGTACCTATAAGGGTCCTATCTTCAGAATCTGTTATGGCGCTCGGGAGGAGTCCTCCTATCTCACTGCCTTGCCAATGCGGCACCCCAGGAAGACGCGGTGTATATTTTGGGAACCGATTGTGAAGACCCGTGGCACAATTTTGAACTACCGGTACGGTACTGTGACGTCATAACCGCCCATGAATTGATTTTTAATATTTTTATATGGTATGGTGTCGAAAGCTCAGGGGTGGGGGGGGGGGGGGGGGGGGAGGGAATACGCGTAATGCAAAAGAAGGACCAAAAAAGGGTGGTGTTGAGCTTTGATTGAAAGTGGTGGGAGGGGCTCAGGGAGCCACTTCCATTAATAATGCAGTCCTGCATTTTGGCACATACCTGAAATTAGTTTTACATTAAATGAATACAAATTACACACTTAATCGGAGAGCAACGGGAAAGATGCCAAAAGTATTTTACGTGTCCCTGGACCTTGGTATGTTTAGCTGATGATTATGATAATATAATGATATATCTATCATTATCATGTTACTTACATGGGTAGCTGTAGGGTCCAAAACCTCCTAAACCACCGAAACTATTGAGGCCGTAACTACTGTAACTGCTCGGGTAGCTGTTGTAGGAACTGTAGCTGTTTGCCGTCGGGTAGCTGTTGTAGGAACTGTAGCTGTTTGCCGTCGGATAGCTGTTGTAGGCATTGTTTTGCCCATATCCACCGTAGTTGCCGTATCCACCATAGTTTCCAGGGTAATTTCCGTATCCACCATAGCCACCCAATCCATAGCCACCATATTTTCCGTATCCACCATAGCCACCCAATCCGTATCCACCATTCTTTCCGTAACCACCATATCCACCGAGCCCATACCCACCGTAACCACCTAATCCATATCCACCGTAACCCCCGAGTCCATATCCACCGTATTTGCCGTATCCACCGTAACCCCCAAGTCCATATCCGCCGTATTTGCCGTATCCACCATAGCCTCCTGGTCCGTATCCACCATATCCGCCCAGTCCATATCCACCGTATGTTTTGAAGTCGCCCCCGTAAACAGCCATCGCCATGGCAACGACCAGCAGGACTGACCGATACATGAGTTGATACATTCTGTTGCTGCTGTGGAAGTCATTAAAATAAGGCATGGTCATTGGTAAATTACTTAACAACGTTAACTGGTCAACATCTAGGCCTCAGTAACTAAGCATTAAATTGTAACATTTTGTATCATTAACTGGTTAAAATTCGAGTAGATTTTAAATTTAACGGACAAAAAGCTGAAGTGGGGGCAGGGGCGTCATTTCAGGTTTCTTTCGGGGGAAAAAGGGGGGGGGGCAAAACCAAATTTTGGTCCGCTTGTTAAGATGTTTATTACTGGAGACGCCACAGTAGCCTAATTAGCAATTTAAATAAAACCTGCAAATTCAGGGGGGGGGGGGGGTGGGGCCTGCACATGCCCCACCCTGCCCTACCCAAATGACGTACCTGAGTGGTGGATGTTCTTGGAGTTATAACTGGTTAAGGAGTCTGACACTTATAATACTGTGATGGCATTCGAAATTAGAATTAGAGGGATTNTTTTTTATTTTATTTTCTTAAAAAAGAAATTGAACTTGTGGTCACGGGGGGGGGGGGGGGGGGGCGGAGCGTTGGATTATATTTTGTTCTCAACTTCAGGGCCATTGTCAGTCAATTGTACTCAGAGGCGTAGCGAGGGTGTTTGGAGCCCGGGGACAAGATTCGCGCCCGGGGACAAGATCAATTTTAAAGCGCCCCCTATTTTTTTTTCAACTCTCAAACCCATTATTTTTACCAATAATATAATATCAAAGCACATATTGGCGCCCCTAACTAGCTGGCGCCCGGGGACATCTGTCCCCCCTGCACCCCCCTCGCTACGCCTCTGATTGTAGTAGTGATAGTGGCTGGGTCCCACGGTCAACGTCATGGCCATTGTCAAGTCAACTGTACTAGTACTAGTGATAGTGCTCGGGCCCTACAGTCAACTTCAGGGCCATTGTCAAGTCAGTGGTGCTAGTACTAGCGATATTGGTTGGGTCCCACGGTCAACTTCAGGGCCATTGTCAAGTCAACTGTACTAGTACTAGTGATAGTGATAGTGGTCGGGTCCCACAGTCATGAAAACATTTAATCACATTGGCGTTTCGTAAACAAACACATAAACATGCATACAATAAATAAAACACGATAAATGCACACATAATAAAAAGTTGATTTTCAAGTTGTCTAGGGGTAATTTTAGTGCCTAGATTTTGGCCGATCCCCCAACCCCCCTCTTTTCACCCTTTCCCAACGAAAAATGGAGTCAAATTAAAATATTGTGGCAGTTGGAATACTCGGATGTTTGATTAAAACAAACAAAATAAAATCATTCGTTTTTAATTCAAATGAAAAAGAAATAGATGCCCTTGGTATCTAAAAAAACAACAA